GCAGCCGCCCGAGCAGTGCGCTGAGAGGTGAGGCGAGGCGCGATCGCGGGGCCGGCGAGGGCCATGGAGTTCCTGAGCGACAAATTCGCCTCCTAGAGCCCCCCCGGGGCCGCCGCCGCCGCCGCGGGCAAAGGCAGCGAGTTCTACCTGGCCCCCGCGGCCCCCTTGGAGCACGTCATGGAAGCGCTGGACGGCGGCGAGGCCTTCTACGGCAAAGCCGCCGGCAGCAAATGCGTGGCCGCCCAGGCCGCCTACAACCCCCACGGCCGCCTGGACAGGGTTTCCCCGGCCCGCGACGGCTCCGGTGAGTGGACTGGAGCGGGGAGGCGCGCACGGGGGTGGGGGTGGGGATGAGAGACAGCCGCGCGCGGAGTGGGCTAGCGCTTGGGGATCCTGGTCGTCGAGGTGCGCTTGTGTATGTATGTGTCTGTGAGTAACCCCACTGGGCGACCTTCCTTCGGTGTCAATCGGATCGACTTCGGAGTCGACCCCTCTAACCCCGGAATTCGGTTCAGAACGATGGAGCTGAAAATAATATTCCTCATTTCCCTCCCTCCCCTCAATAGGATCTAGATCCCTATGGGGCCCGATCCACTGAGAAATTCTCAAGCCCTTTGCTTACACCGGGGCATTCGTAGAGGAAGCTTTCCGGGGCTCTTTTGAGTTCAGTCACATTTGGACACGACACGGGGGTCCCGAATTTATATCGATCGGGAGGCACCATCCACCGCATCCCACGAGATCTGGTGGGGGGAAAAACAACAACGGGGCCTTAAACTGGCGAGTTGGATGATAGACGCCGGATTGGGAAACCCACCAACCTTGAAATAAATGAAATTGTTCCTTTTCGTGGAATTTAGAATTTATAAAAAGTGTGAGGCGGGGGGGGGAAGGAAGTGGTGCGAGCAGCGAATTAAGTGAACGGACGCTCTTAAGATCTTCCGAAGGGGAGAGCGATGGCCGCCTTGTTTCGCAGTATTAAGTATGTGACAATTTATGTCCGTGCCTGGAGTTCGTCGGAGAAGCTGCCATCATCATTCCTTCGCGAGGTGCCTCTTTAGCGGCGTCTTTGACCTTCCCAGTGATCCCAGCAATCTTCTGGCTTTTCCCCCTACGAAGAGGGGGAGGAGAGAGAGAATACAAGAGGCAGAACTTGGAAACTTGCGGAGTGTGTGGGGGAATTCCTTATGGCCTGTTATAAGCCCCTGAGCTCGGACGTTGTGCCCCGCAGGTTCTTACGTCCGCTCCCTCCCGCCTCCTGATCGATGGAGTAAATTGCAGAAATAAAAGACAGAACGTGTAGGAGCGGGAGACCCGGAGACACCGTTATTTTCCATCCTGACCTGGGTGAAACAGAAAGATTTACAGCCAGAGTCGGGAAAATACAAAACTAAGAATGCGAAACTAAAACTAAAATTAAAACCAAAGTCTTACGCCACCTTTAAGACAAACAAATATAGGTATAGATTATATAGATATAGATTTTAATTCCAGTATGACGCTCGTGGATTATCATCCACTTTCTCAGACACAAACTGGCAGTAAACTAGGTTTGCTTTGAAGATGCCGCAGGACTTTGGGTTCGGGCTGTGTTGTAAGGGCTGCAGGAACAGAGAAACCTTTTGAAAATAAACTTTTCAAAGCCCTCCCCCCCCCCCGAAGGGGAAAGATGGAGAAGACACTGTACCAAAAACAAGCAGGGGCCCAGAACAGCTCTGAGGAGCCTTAAATTAAGCCTCCTTGTTACGGTTTATCGGCGGGAGCGCCGGCTGCTTAGCTTAACGCCGACAGTATCCCTTCCAGTTCATCTGTTAGTGAACCCTCAAAGGCGAATTGCTAAGGGTGTAAAGGGTGGCTCGGGTCCAGACCAAGGGTTACGGTTTATTGGCGGGAGCGCCGGCTGCTTAGCTTAACGCCCGCATTATCCCTTCCAGTTCGTCTGTTAGTGAACCCTCAAAGGCGAATGGCTAAGGGTGTAAAGGGTGGCCAAGAGGATCGAACTCTGTCACCATTCCGCTCAAGGGGAAGTCGCCTCGTGGCAAACCTGCCCTAGGGATTCCAGTGGGACCTGCGTCCGACCCATTTAATCCGGACGGAACCCCACCCGAGGAGATATCCGTGACAGAGAATAGACTTGGGAACTCACGATGAGGCAGAAATTCCCCCAACTCATCTCACTTATTTAACAGAGACAAATCAACAAAGGATCCAATTCCCTCAGCAAGCGTAACAGCCAAAAAATGTCCTCGGTTTTGGGTGGATGAACTTTAAAAATACTCTTAAAATGGTAGGGAAATGCCTCGACCGAGTATGATGAGGCAAAAGAACTGAACAAACTCCCCAGTGCTTTGTTGATCTGTATGCTGAGAATGGAGACTGTTCTCCCACAATGGCATTTTATAATTTAGCTGAGAAAATCCGAAGCCGAAATAATGAGCGATCTCTTTAGTTTTGTCCAAGTCCTTCAGATCGCTTCTTTTCCTGCCCCCGCTGGTTGTGTGATATGGGATCGAAAGCAGATTTGAATGCAGCACCCTGAGTATTGCTCCTTTGATTCTTCTTCAGCTCTCCTTATTTGCTTACATACGGCCGTAGAGACGTCCTGCAATCCGGCCGATCCTCGATTCAGTTAAGCCAATGTACTTTCATTAAGAGTTAACCGCGTTACTTAACAACTACTGTACTGGCGAGCTTCTCGATTCGCCTTTCCAGCTTCCTCCGCCGCTTCCTTCTGTCCCTCGCGTTTAAAAAGACCGACAATTAAATGAAATAACTTAAGGTCCTTCTAGCTCCTGTCCCTAAACCAGCCGCCGCCTGTTCACTTGCTTTTATACTCACCCGAAGTGCTGGCTAAGTCTGCACTCACTTGTGGTCGAGCTTGAAGAAATCCTCTTAATCCAGTTTTACGAAATGCTCTAGTAAAAAACGAGATCGCAAAAGCCGCGTTTTAAAGTGGAAGAACCGAAAAGCGCACAGCTTTCGAATCGTCCTTAGCCATTTCGCTTTCCCAGTTCCACGGCACGACGGTATTCGTCCCTTTAAGAAGTATTTTACCTCTTACATTTTGCCGACCTTAAACACGATGGCTTTACAAACGCAGCCACTGCAGCAAAACCTACGTCCAGTTCGTAGCGGCTGAAATCGGATTTATTTAATCCTTCCATTAGAAAAGAACACTGCTGTGCGTTTTGAAATGTGTGATCTCAGATAAAGCGCAAATGCTGCCCGGGGGAGTGTCACGAAAGGGCATCTCTTTCAAACAGCAGAACTTTTCAAACTTACAAACTTTCCACTGCGAAGACCGTCTCCTTCCCACCTAAACCTGTTAGCGATGTTGTTCTTTAAAGCTGACAAATCAATGAAATGTGAAATGTTTATTACAATGTCGTTTAGTTTAACGAGGTTGCAGATCTTTCTGATTATACAACAAACACTGAAGAACCCCTTTTTCTTTTTTGAAAAAAAAATAATGTAACCTATATCTAGTGAAAGCACCCTGTCTGAAATGGTTTAACTCTTTTTTTTTAAATTTGAAAGCTAAACTATTTTTATTATTAAGTTTTGTGTGTGGGAGTTCTAAAGGAAATACATTTTGTGCCATATTTAACTTGAGATTGAGCAGTTGCCTAGTATTTACAAGGACTGAAGAATCTAATACCAACACACACAGAGAGAGCACTTCTACTCTGTAGTTTAAGACTGTTAATATTTTAAAATATAGAAGAGAGAAGGAAATGGAATTCTTTTTATTCCATACATATATAGAGGTCTAATCTTTAATGGGCTATACATTACTGCGCCCGACCAAGTTATAAGTATACCTATTCTGTTTGAATGCTTCCAAGAAAGCTTTAAAATTATAATCCTTTAGAAATAATAATGCATCATGATAAATAATACTTCCATATTACAAACTTGAGTATGAGAAACAAATCCCACTTTGTCTAGTGGAACTTGCCACTAGGTAAGTCTGTTTTAGGTCTTCAGCCTTTGGATGCAGTCCCATGCACTTATTTGGATGTTAATTCCATCAAAATAATTTAGACTTGCTTTGAGTTGACGTGTAGAGTTATACCATTAGCAGTCAGTAACTAGATCCCTGTTTGGAATCTAAAATTCAATGTCCTTAATTCTACTTTGAAAAACAGAATATCTCTGAAACAAAAAGTTAAATGTGGCCTGATTGTATTTTCATATAACTTTAATGGCCAGTCTTTTCTAAGGATGTAGAATAGAAATCATGAGATTTTTTTCTAAAAGTTGTAAAATTTATAAAGCTACAAATCTTTCAAGAAGTACAGAAAAGGTGATCAAAAGTGGGTCAATCCAAGATGTCTGTTAGACCATTTTTTTAAAAAAATAGCTTGTTCTTATTTTTGAGTCTGATTGCGATTTAGTTCAATAAACTGCTAGGGGACAGTGTAAAATATGTAATAACACTTACTGTGTAATTATTAAAAATATATTGTTCGCAAAATTAGGGCCTTGCTTGTTATCTGGCTGAAATGGTGCACTTTCATCCTCCTTCATTACTGCTGAGAAGATGTAATCAAATTTTGAACCCTAATGTTTAGCCCCCCCAAAAAAACAAAAAAAAAACACTTTTATTATAAAAGAGATCTCCACCCAAGTCAATCTGTAGCAACCTCAGTGTGTGTGTGTGTGTGTGTGTGTGTGTGTGTGTGTGTGTGTGTGTGTGTGTGTGTGTGTGTGTGTGTGTGTGTGTGTGTGCGCGTGCGTGTGCATGTGTGTGTGTGTGTGTGTGTGGGCGCACGCGCGCAGTGGACTTGACAGTTAGACTCGCTGATTTCAAAAAGGCATTTATCAAATGGGCTTCTCTGAATGGCAGCAAGTTCCCAGTTAAAATTACAGCAAATGAACAGTATGGGGGGATGAAATTATTGGGAGCGGCCAAGAGTGTTAAAACAAGCTGGAAAGGGCAGCTTGGATGCCATCTTTTGCAAAGTTTTAGGACACTGGCTGGCTAGAATCTCACCCCCTCTACCTGTCAAGAGAGAAAGACAAAAAAAAGGAAAGGAAAACAGAAAGAGTAGAGAGGGACAGGAAAAAGTTTAAGTTCTCTCAGATCTTGTAACACGCTTCATTAGTAATCTCAGAAATGTGACATTTTTAGGAGAGGGTGAAAAAGAAGCCAAGAATTTGTTCAGAAGCCGAAGGGGGGAAAAACACTTTTATCCTTATCTCGGACAGTGAGGGTTTTCTTGAAGATTAATGATTTTTGCAAGGCTTGTGAGAAATACAGGAAAACTATGGTTTTGAAGAATACCCCTACAGTTTGGACTAATAAAAACCCTAATTGGAAACAAATCTCTTTCACAAAATTGAACACCCCTCCTTCTTTTCTATTTAGAACTGTGGGCATTTTGATTTGGTCTCCTGCTACTCTTGTGATTTGAGAAAATGATTTGCTCTTTACTGTAACTTTGTTACATACTTTGTCTTGGCAATGTTAACAGACAGTGTATCCTTTTCTCCTGCATCATCTTATACATGTTTAGTCAGACATAAACTACAATGAAGTAAATGAGACTTAAGCCGAAGTAAATCTGTGTAGGACTGCAGTCTTTAAAACATTGATGATCTGTTTGTCATGTGCTCAACATAATGTCATGCATATTCATTCAGCTGCAAATCTTTCTCTGTGTCCGGTACAGCTTCTTCTCAGGTGCATAGGATTCTAGTTGAAATGTTTAAAGCTGGAAACCCAAATCGATTTACCTGAGAGTAAGCCCCATTGAACTCACTGGAGACTGATCTCTTGAGTAGAAATGCTAGACTTGCACTGCAAGTCCTGTGCCTATTAACCTCAAAGTATGTCTCCATGAAAGCTGACCGGATAGCTCAGTGAGTTTGATACATGGCTCCAAAGCCAGAGGTTGGGAGTTCAATTCCCTGCTGTGCATCCTAGAAGAGCCACATGGCCTTGGGTAAGCTGCACAGTTCCAGAGTACTCCTAAAAGAAGGAAATGGTAAACCACTTCTGAATATTCCGTATCTAGAAATCCCCGGAAAGGGTCTCCATAAGTCAGAATTGACTTGAAGGCACACAATTGTTATGATGTCCCACTAGACAATGAAGGACTCCCTTCTAGATAGGTCTGCATGAAATTGTGCTGTGTGTCTTCAGTGCAAAACAGGTTTGCTAGGGTGTAAGCTCCATGGAACACTGGGGGATGTACTTCTGAGTAAACACATATTCAGCATTCAAAATTCTATTGTGATCTGATTCTCCATCCCACCGATTATTATTTGGCCTGTTCATTGTCCAAAATAATAATACTGATCCAGAATAGATGTCCTTCCAAACAAATTAAGTTGAAATTAACTGTGGCAATATGAAATTTGTAAGAATACATTCTGATACATTTTCTTAGCAGCATTCTTTGTATCTAGTAAATCAATCTCTTTTCCCCTCCCATTTTCACTGGTAAATCCCTCTAGCTATGTAGACAGAATGATATGTGCAAACACATGTCTAACTGTGCTTGCACATTCATACCAATGCTTGGAAGAGTTAGTTTTGGGACTGCAGCTTCCTGAATCTTCCAGCCAGCATGGTTAGCTGGAGGATTCTGGAATAATCCAAAAAAAAAAAAAGATAACTCCTCAAGCCCCGTGTACCTGCATGTTCTCTCTCTTTCTTTTCTAAATCTCAGGTCAGTCCAACCCAACCAAGCGTGTTTCTCTCTGCTGTACAGTGACGTATGGGATTACGAAAGTGGAAGGCCAGTCGCTGCACACGGAGCTGGGCCGACCACTGGACAATTGCAGCAACCTTCGCCTGTCTCCCGTGAAAGGCATGCAAGAGAAAGGAGAGCTGGATGAACTTGGCGATAAGTGCGACAGCAACGTCTCCAGCAGTAAGAAGAGGAGACACCGGACCACGTTTACCAGTTTGCAGCTGGAAGAACTGGAGAAAGTGTTCCAGAAAACACATTACCCTGATGTTTACGTCAGGGAGCAGCTGGCGCTGAGAACAGAGCTCACGGAGGCCAGAGTTCAGGTAGGAGCTTCCATTGCATCCACAACAAACTGACTCATTCTGGAAGCTGAAAGCTCATTAAGCACAGAGGGGTCCTGCAGAAGCACTATGGAGTTATCTCTCAGGCAAAGGATGGGGTTATATTTATGGCTGATACTTAACCAGTTCACCCCATTCTACTACAGTGTGATATTAATAGTGTTTCACTAAGTTAAGAATACCACTGGGGAATTTTAAAAAGGATGGAATCCCAAAGTAATTATCATCAGCTTAGAACAGCAGAGCCGAATGGGACCCTATGGATGATGATCCACCCTCCTGACAAGGAGGCATAGTGAGGACTGAACTCCAAACCTCTAGCCCCACAGCCAGATACCTAAACCACTGAACTATTCTGCAGTTCTTCACCATTGATCAAAAACTGTATATTTATGACCCACGTGTAGAGGCTGCTATATTAGTTTTCCTATCTGCCGTGGGTAACTTTTGACCCTGAGCAAAATTAACTATTGAGTTCAGTATCCCTACAATGTTTTGATTACAATTACAGATGACCAATTAGAGTTGTTTCAGTCATTATATTTGTAAAAAAAAATTGCACGCCCGTATGATGTATTAAGTATGCATATAAAGGTATAAAGGAGGAGTGAAGAACTTCAGATCCTGGGGAATCCAGCCTTTCTGAGGCCCTGAACTAAGCCCACTTGTCTTCCTGGATGGCCAAGACTCCTGCATATGACACTGCTGTCTGTTGGTATTCTAGCTTTTGTACTCCCCCCGCTTCAAAAAATTTGAGATGCCTCTTGTAATAAACTAGTGACTGGCAGAAAGAATTGTCAGCTAAAAGGGATATTGCTTTTGATCTCACTGTTCTGCCTATGGACCCACATGCCACTCGAAAGTAGCCTGCAAGAATTTTTCTGAATGGGACTCTGGTTCAAAGAGATTGGCTGATTGTAAATTATAAGCAACAGGCAATAGGTGAGGACAAGCTTGTGTTTGCAAGCACATGCATCATACGCAGTCTGGATTGGCTGCCTGCAGTCTGTCAACCGTTCACTCAGAAGCAAAGGCTAGGTTGCCACTGTGCAATGTATAGGAAGCCCCTAAAGCTATAGGATGGTGCAGTTCCTTGGAAACAACCACTGTAGCAACTGATGGGTATTCTTTGACCTTGGTGAGCTTGAAAGAAGCCATGTTGATCCATAAAGCAAAATCCAAATCTTACAATTAGGCAATAATTATATTACGATCAATTATAATATGCACTTTTTTGTGTTCTCCGGAACTCTGTGCACTCTGATGGTTACAAAACAGCAACAACGGCTTTGGTGCCATTGTGTAAACAAACTGGAATCTGAGCACAGTGCAGACACCAAGGTGCCACACAAAATGGGTCAAGCTAGAAGCTTTTGTTAGGTTCTATCAACTGTGGGAAGTTCAGGCGAATGAAGGCTAGATGCTAGCTGAAGACCAGTCTTTGTCCTGCATTATGGAAACTAGTTAGCAAAGAACTTCTGCTCTAGGACAGTGGTCCTTAGCCTTGGGTATCCAGATGCTTTTGGATTATAATTCCTAGAAATCCTGTCCAGCACAGCTAGTGGTGAAGGTTTCCGGGAGTTTTAGTCCAAGAACATCTCGGGACCGAGACTGGGAACCACTGCTGGACCACCACTTACGATTGAACCTAAGCTGAACTTTCTTACACATCCCTTTTGATTCTATTGTGTACCAAAGTAAATATACATGTGTTGGTTTCAGGGCTTAGTTCCAGTTATTACCTTATGGGTGAGCAGGTGTTGTGATAGGGATCAAGAGGACTGAGTATTATAAAATAAGATGGTTTACAATGTTATGAAAACGAAACTAATGCAATGTAAATCTTTTTCTACCCACAGAATAAGAAAATTAAAATATTTCATTAATGCTTTTTAAACAAACATAAATTTAACTAGCCATGTATTAAGCATCATATTAAATGCTTAATATTAATATTTGTTTTTTGAAAAAACGTCCTCACCACATTCCTCAAAATGTTGAAAATTTACTTCTACATGTCACACATCCCAGTACCCTTTCGCCAGCATGGCCAGATAGACATTTGGAGAACTGATGGGAGGATTTGCATCCAGGGGAACAACCTGAGGATTGTATGGGTGTAAAAGTGTTAAATCCAGATAGACCATTGCCTCGTCTCTTAATGTTGTCAGATGAGATCCCAAGGGTTGCCTAGGAAGAAGGAAATATGTGATTTGCTTGCCATCAAATGGAATGTTTGGTTTTCCTAGCAGACAACTGACCTTCCGGGCTACATCACAAATGGCTTACTTCTTCTAATTTAAAAAGCAGTTTGCCATGGGGTTGGGTGGAATAGTAAGGTCTAAATAGACCATATCTTAGCTTGCCCTTCTGCTTCCAGATAGCTGGGAAGAAGTCTTGTAAGTCTTTTGCAGGGACCCCAAACTGTCGACTCTGGGACTTCCTAGAAGACCTGCGTTCACCCCATAAGAGCCTAGATTTATGATTTTTCAGCTTCTGTCTGGGCTTATTTCACATTCAGTAGGACTGAAATGCCTTTTCCCCCAAGGCTCAATTACTGGCAATAAGAGCTACAAGCTAAAACAGACTGGGGGTTTCAGTCGCACCATTTTGCTTTTGATCTTATCCAACACTAGAATGTGATCCCCTGAAATACCTCTGAGGCTGAATTCCACCCTCAGTTGGAAAGATTTTCCTTACCCTTACTTTAAATGTTTCTTGGGCTAATGAAACTAGAATCCCAATTGCTTGACTTTTGTCCACAGACCTCGTGCGAAGTAAACTGAACTTGGTGGAAAAATTTGTAAAAATGTGGACCTCTTTGCGCACTGTGGCATGCCACAGATGATAATGGTCATCATTTCCATAGGTTATGACTTGATAATCTATGAACTACAAAATTCATTGAGTACCATTTCATTAGGTAGCACTGCCCAATTAAAAATAGATTTGATCTAGACTTAGTCATAGTACACCCAGTGGCCCAAATCCAATTTTTTTGGCATGCATGCATGCAAGAGTCTGTTGTGTATGTGGTTGTGTGGTTTTTTGGGGGGGAGGGGCAATTACACACTGAAGTATCTATTTACTAGCCTCTTGCATATGTATAAGCCCAATTGTTTCCGACAGGTTGATCTTTTGTTTACCTATTTTCAAACAAGAGATTGCGGGATTATTGGAACAACCATGGAGCACTCAACCAGCAGAACAGTTATGCTCCATAAACGCTAGTACAATTCTACCAATGAAATAAATAAGGATTAAGTTATTCATGACTAATTTATGTCCCACTGATTTCAAGCAGGTGAATAGATGTATGGATAGCTCAGAGATTTAGGTATCTGGATGCAGAGCCAGAGGCTGGGGGTTCAATTTGCCACTGTGCCTTCTGCGAGCAGAACCAGCCTGTGTGTCCTTGGGCAAGCTGCACAGTCCCAGGGTGCCCCAGGATGTTTATGTCTGAGGAAGTGGACTTCTCAGTGAAAGGTCACATTAAAACATAGGAAGGTCCCACAACATTTTTATATCTTTTTTTTTTATTTGATATGCTAGCATAGACTAACATGGCCACCTCTTCTTTTAGAGAAGAAAGGAATGGTAAACCACTTCTGAATATTCTCTACCTCGAAAACCCTAAAAAGGGTTGCCATAACTCAGAATTGATTTGACGGCACACAGTTATTACTGTTAATAATAAAGAACTACTGGATTGCTCAGTGGTTTGTGTATCTGGTCACGGAGCCAGAGGATGGGAGTTTGATTCCTTGACAGGAGTAGACTTGATTATCCATAGGGTCCCTTCCAGTTCTGCAGTTTTAAGATGATGATAACAGTGCTGCTCTTTATGATTACTAGATGTATGGTTAAATCTGGACTTGGCTTTCCTCTTTAATCTCAGTAGGTCTCCAAAGCACATGATCCAATGGCTACTTGCATATACAATGCTTGGTCCCTGGGATATTCTTTTTCCCCTTTCCATGGAGTTTTTGTTTTGTTTTGAGATAAAGTTTAAAAATGCATGCCACCAAAAGAACATACAGAACAATATGCAATCACTAAAGATTATCATTATGCCTATCACATCATAGGTAGGCTATGGGACAAGAACTAAAACAGCTTAAGAAGAATCTTGCCTTCTAATGAAAGACTGAAGATTTTATTAATATATTGATATCTATTTGTGTATGTGTTTCTGTGTGTTTTAATATGAAAACTCTTTGTGCCTATTGATCTCTTGTTTGTATTTTAAAGAATTGAACATTTAGGCTCAAATATATAGCATTTATTATATCTAGAGGGTTTCTGATCATAATTCCATAGGAGGTACATGTAGATGCTGGAATACAATTCTAAACAGTATAACAATGGGGGATTGCTACTGACACTGAAAGGTTTTTTTTTCTGTTTGAAGTAAGCTTTTAGAAAAAGAAATAGACATTGAATAAATGGCAACTGAAATTTGAACAGAATCGGAACCTTGTTCCAATGAGGTGTGCAGAGCATGTGAGCATAAGGTCTGAGTTTATGAGAAACTCAAACCAACCTTAGTCTGCTCCCCAAAACTAGAATAACCTTACAGTATTCAAACCAGTCATCTTCATTTATGAAAAAAAAGGGATAGTATAGTTAGTCAAACCAGATGTTATTTATAAGTAAGTCTCTGACCAAGAGGGCTAAATTATAATGTTTGTCACCCCACCCAGAGTAGACCTGTTGAAATGAACGAGACCTCTTACTTAACTTTGTTGCTGTTTAGTCATTAAGTCGTGTCCGACTCTTTGTGGCCCCATGGACCAGAGCAGCCAGGCCCTCCTGTCTTCCAGTGACTCCCAGAGTTGGGTCAAATTCATGTTGCTCACTTCAATGACACTGTCCAACCATCTCATCCTCTGTCGTCCCCTTCTCTTGCATTCACACTTTCCAGCATCTTGGTTTTTTCCAGGGAGTTGTCTTTTCTCATGAGATGGCCAAAGTATTGGAGC